AAAGAAAAATATATTGTCCATTAAATTTCTGTCATTTTACTTCTAGGTTGATTTCCTTAGGTAAACTTTTCTCAAGCACAGAACTCAATGACAGTATGTTTTGCATTCAGTTGCTTAGAACTTGACAGATAAATGGTGCATTTGATAACACATGAAAATATATTGCAACCTGTTCTCGCCCTACCTCATTTTTGTGGCTGTTAGTAACTTTAAACTGACATGTATTACTTTCCAAATATATGTCTTTAAACAACTAATTGTTAAAAAAAAAGAAATAGTCTTTAGCAGGCACCTCAACAAATGAAACAGAAAGAGATTCTCATCCAAATGTCATAAGGAAAATGAGATTTCTTCTACATCAAGAGCTAATAGAATGACCATAATTCAGAAACATTGGCAGCATTGCTAGGGTGTGAATGAAGAGAAAATCTTTTTCAGTGCTGATGTTAATACAAAATGGTTACATCCTGTTTAGAAGATGGTATGACAATTTCTTACAATAGTAAGCATGCCTTTATTATACAACCCAGCAGTTACATTCCTTGGTACACTCCTAAAGGAGTTGAAAGCATGTTTACACAAATCCTAAAGTACAAATGTTTATAGACACTTTATTTATAATTGCTAAATGCAATGCATTCCACAGAATCTCATTAGTGTCAGGGTTCACTATTACAGTGTTACTTTGTGTGTGTGTGTGTGTGTGTGTGTGTGTGTGTGTGTGTGTGTGCGTGTGTGCGCAAGCACCAGTCTGGAGGCTTGCACTGAAGGCCTGGGCACTATCTTTGAATTACTGTGCTCAAGGCTAGTGCTACACCACTTGAGCTACAGCTTCACTTCCCTTATTGGTAGTTATTCGGAAATAAGAATTTCATAGGCTTTACTGCTTGGGCTGGCTTCAAACTGCAATCCTCAGATTTCAGACTACTGAGTAGCTACAATTATAGGCATGAGCCACCAGTGCCTGGCTTACATGTACTATCCTCTTGTTAATGGCCTCATCAGATATTCACTCCAACAGAGCCATAATATTGCTAGATGTTCTGGTGCTAAGTGCAAATATTGGCTCATTATGGATGTTCAATATTCATTGAGTCAACAATAAATAAAATACAATTCCAAAATGCCATTTTGGAACTACTTTAAAAAGTTGAGAGCTTCCAGAACAATTTTCTTGGGTTATGTTTGTCATCTTGGTGGTCATAAGAACCAGGTCTGTCATCCATGTATTCCCAAATACACATTTCTACTTTCATAAAGCAAATATGTGTGCCTGTATATAGCGAGACATATACATAGATACAAAGACAGAGAAATGAATCAGTAAGATGCAAAGATCAATGTGTTGAAAAGAAGAGAAGAAATTCAAAGAGAAAAAGGGGAAAAAGTGACTTTTCCTTAGTGAAATCTTAGTCTTAATGGATTTCAACTTCAAATATGAGGATTATTTGGACAATAGTCATTTTAACCTCATACATAAACCATATCACTTTTGACAGATTGGATTATATAGGATTTCTAAGCAGAAAATAATAGTAACAATTCTAACATCCAAATTACCTTTCCTTCAGTGATGCATGTCTCTTCTCTGATGTGAATGTCATCATAACTATGTGAGATAACAATAATTATTATACCGATTTAAAGCCATTAAAGTGTCAATAATAATGTGCATAGTGCTTGTTATATATCCAGAAACTTTTGCTAAAATACATACCTAAATTATTAAATCTTCACAAAGATCTTAGGACATCTTATTATCTTAAAGAAGGAACTGAATCTTAAGAAGAAAATTGAACTTCTGATTCCATGCTCTACACATATCTCTTCTACTCTTCTTATTTATTCAGGAATGGGGAAATAATAACAGCAAGAACAATGCCCATGAATCCAGAAATAGAGGCAGACTTTACAGATAATGTTGATTGGCTAGATAGAAGCCTGGTTACTTGTTCACCATCCTGGTGGAATGGGAAATTTTTCCTTTAGGTGGCAAGCCATCTAATTTTGGGACAATTTTATTTGAGAGAAATATACTTTATCTTATTTAAATTATTGTAGCTAGGAACCAATTTATTATAGATCATTACCTTGTGCTTTCACAAATAAATCATGCAAGTGGCTTCTACTCAGTATCAGGCGAATGGCTAAAAAGATGAAAGAAAATTTATATAAACATCTCCTTGTCACAATAGTGAAATGATGTCATATCACTTCTGCAAAGATGAGCTACACACTCCCTTGAAGGTATTCTGTGTCTGGAGCTCAAAGTTTCTGGCTCATATATCTGAATTTGTCATCATATGAGAACACATCTAGCTTTGGAGAAATTCAAATAGACTAAGATTTTGAGACTAATGTATAAAACAACAGCTTTTGAATTTTCAATAAGAAATCAGTGTGACATAACTAGAGAGTTCATGTAACCAATTTATTTTCTTCATGTAGTCAAGATAAACCGGATGCCAAATTTTAATCAGAAGCTACTGCACAGTTTTATAAGAACTGGACATACTCAACTTCTATAAAATCAGCCCCATTGAGTCCCTGTAGGCAAAAGTGCATGGGAGCCAAACCTTAATCAGAACGTTGCTTCATAAACATGGAATCAGATGCTGGAAGTTTAATGATTCATAAGTCAAGTTGTTTGTCTCCAAATAGAGGAGCGCTTGGCAATAGGAGTAGATATACGATAGTATAGTCTTACTTAAGGTTACTCTCACAATGGTAAGCCATCTGTGTTTCCAGATTTTGGAGTAGCTTTATGACAAATGTCAAAATTCATTATAAACAAAAGCCAAGAGTTCACCTCTGCTTCTGTAATGCATTTGCTGTTAAATTGCTTGTTTTTGTCCTCTTCCCCTATGATTCATCTTCTGATCTATTTATCTATTTTTATGTATCTGTTACTTCATTAATTTGGATTAATTTGTCATGGTATTACTTCCAGTCAGAAAGTTGATTTATTGCTTATTTCTCAAGGGAGAAATCTTGTGTCAATCATTTCTTCCTTTAGAGGGACTATAAGAAGTAGAGTTCCCAGGTACTAACAATAGAAAAAAAAATTCCAGAAGTTAGTTTTTAAAAGAGAAGCCTTACCATCAAGCATATTGTTTATTGAACTTTAATTGTACATTCATCATCATACTGTGCAGTTTAGCTTCATTTCTTTTTAGCTTTTTAAAGGCATTCTTGACATGGGTGTACTTCTTTTATTATTCTAAAATGATACACATTTCAGTTTTCTAGTGCCTTAAGGAAGTAGCTGGTTATAACTCATCACTTTAGCTCCTTCTGCATGAAGGACAGTGTCTCCTAAAGACAGGTTCAGTAAATGTTCAGTAATAGATGCAAAAAAAATTAATGAGTATACTAGGGACAAGTGTGCTATATTCCTTCTTTCCATATACCATTACTAGGAAATTCTGAGAGCAATGTTTCTTAACACACTTCATTTAAATTGGACACTTTAACATCCCTTAGGGACAACACAATAAATCACACTTTTATACATGATAGCATGTGCTAACATGGTCATCATAATAATGACTCATAATAAGCACTTAGTATATGAGCTATTTTCATTACTTTCCCCAAGTGTTTTGAGGCGCTAACATTATTGTTATTCTTTAGAGCTATAGAAATCAAGCAAATGACAGCATTCTGTCACTCACAATCTCTTACCCTGCTTATGATCACTAAAGATTGGGATACAGCCAGTGACATGCGAGGGTCGATGTTTCTAACTAACGACTGCACGAACAGCCTCCATTCATTGATTTTCATAAATGGCTTAGTCTAGTCTCTTTACTCATAGATGAATAGCAAGATAACAAGATAATGGCTTTTTCATAGGCATGGATTGCTTAAGATGTGTTTGAAAGTGGTTACAAGTATCAGAGACATCTCTTTATAACTTATAATACTCTTCAACCTTTGCCTTGCTGGCTGTTCCTTACTCTCCTCTTTGTTTTCTTATTACAATAGTCCCATGGCTCAAACTCCTGTTACATGTTCTACTGAGCACATGATCTGGCTTTGGCTAACTCTCCTGTCTCATCTCTGTATAGTTCTTTCTTTGTTTCACCTTTGAATGTACTTCCTTGCTCTGTATGCAACACACACACACACACACACACACACACACACACACACACACACATCTCCTACATGACATTTTCCCAGGAGACTCTTACTCATCTCACTTTGCTACATAGACTCAGCATTTTCCTTTCTAGAGCCCACCATTCAGCATAATGGAAATGATTATTTACAAAGAGTTGCAAATAATCTTTCATATCATTTACAACTATTTGCAACTCTTTGTAAATAATCATTTACATTAACTGCAATTACATAAACTCTAAATAATCACCTATATTATTTACTGCCAGCTTCCTAGCAGTGCTGAAATTGCTTTGCATGTGTATGTCACAGTTTCCTCTTAGAAATAGTGTATATCCAATTTCACATAGATGGCTGTAATATTCTAAATATTTTATGAATTGCTAGAAAATAATTTGCTTCAATCACAACTCTACCCAAATCCCTACACACAAACAATCACCATCTTGTGACCTGTCCATTATGACCAATTTTGTACCTCTTTGTTTTCAGAGAATGTGAGTGATATTTTTTCTCAAGAAGAGGACACATTTTTATGGCATTGATGCACTGGGATAATTGGTAGTGAAGAATGTAGGGGGTAGGGTTTCCCTCCTCATTGCAGCAGAACAAATTAAATATACCTGGGCTCAAGTGTCCTGAAAGGTCTCTCAGTCATCAACCTACTCCTTGCTTGTCTACCCACTTACATTACCACCACCAACTCTTTCTCTCTTGTGTCCTTTCTTGTTCTTTGGTGCCTCAACATCATAGCTAACTATTGCAAATACCACTGCACATGACAAAACTCCCAAGGTTAGAGTTCTACCCAAGCAATGAAAACCATACATCCTAGGATAAGTCGCCATCAACAGTTCATTTTGTTTTTGATACATATGCTTATCTCAGCAACACATATACCAAATGTGGTATAATAAAGAGGAGATTAGTGTAGCCCCTGCACAAAAATGACAGGCAAATTCATGATGTGCTCTATACTTTTAGAATGCAGTCAAGAATCAAAGTAGGAGAAGGATGAGTGAGAACGTTGAAAAGGGTGACATTTATTAAGCTATATAGTGTTCAGGGATGGAAGGGGGAAGCAGGAAAAAGAAAGGAAGGGGAGACATTGTCCAAAAAGAAGAAATGCACTCATTTCCTGATTTATGATATGGTAACCCCTCTGTATAACACCTTAATAATAACAAAATTATTTTGGAAAACAAGAAAAATAAATTTGAATAACACTGAAAAAATATATATTGTATTTATAAACTGCTTTATTAAATAGCAACTCCTTTGTACAACTACTTAAAGATAAAAATAATGTTTACCAACATACAACCAGGCTTAAAAACAAAATGAATTGAACAGAATTCTCAGAAGAAGAAATACAAAAGGCAAATAAGATACACGAGTCCATTACATGGCAAATAAAACATGAAGAATTTTCCAAAATCCTTAGCCATAAAAGAAATAAAAATTTTAAAACTACACTAAAATTCCATATTACACCACTCATAATGGTAATCATAAGAAAACAAACAGCAACCAATGCTGGTAAGGATGAATGAAAAAAGAATCGTCATATCACTGTTTGTGGAAATGCACAATAGTACAACCACAATGGGAATCAATATGGATATTCCTCAAGAAACTAAAAATAGACCTACCAAGGAATTTACCACCCTACCCTTGAGTAAATTCAAGGGAGAGTAAACCAATAAATAAGGATGATACCTGGGTTTAATTGAAAATCTGTTCACAATAGTCAAACTGTGGAATCAACCAAGGTGCATAACAATTAATAAATGTATAAAAATTTCCATACACACATACACATAACACACAAGCACACACATACACATATATTATGAAACATTATGCAACTATAAAGGAAAATTAATTTATATCACAGGAAAAAGGATAGAACTGTAGATCATCATGTTAAGTCAGACAAACCAAGCTCAAAGAGCCAAATATTATATGTTCTCACTCACTTGTGGAATAGAGGCTAAAGTGATGATGAACGTGATTGTAATAGTAATAGTAATGGAACATTACTATTTTATACGTGTTTATAAGTGAATCCATGGGACAGGCAGGAGCAAAGAAGGGGAACACATAGGAATGAAGGGGACCAAAGGAATAAAGCAGAGAAAAATGCTGCTGGAAACAAAGAGGGAAGAAGGAGACAAAAAATGGGAATATGCTGGAGAGGATGTTTGTTCAATATGCACTATGTACATGTATTTAATCTCACAATGAACGTCCCATGTGACATGTGTATGCTAATTCAAAAATAAAATATTAAAACACATGCACACACATATATATGAATTTAATAATGCAGCCTCTTTGCTAAAGGAGCATCACTTGGCTGTGGCTTCTTGGCTTCAATAAAAAACACTCTCCTAAGTATTTGATTGTTTTTTCTACATCTTGTGCTAGACTTCAAGTTTCATGAGCATAAGAATAGAGAATTTATCTGATTCATTATTGTTTCTCTGAATAAACAATAACAGCAGAGGGCCCGTAGCATATAAGTCACTCAAAAATTTTTGAATGAGTCAGCTTCAGAGAATTTGTAACAAAGAGAATATTTATCTATTTAAAAGTTGACATGGAAAGCATACAAAAGATATCATGCATTTTATAGTAGAACTTGATACTTTTACTAGCTAAAATCCTTCCATAGTTACTTAGGGATATAAATCTATTTACTAGTAGCTTTGATTCTTAGGAAACTGTACCATTACATTTAATTGTAGCAAGAGCATCTGACAGGAAATATACTGCTACTAATCTAGGCTTTCAAGCACTGACCCTTAGAAGATCTGGAATAAGCCAAAGAATTCCAGGCAGCAGGAGATATTATCAGATCTATTTTCTCAGCAGGAAATAGGCAAACAAATTTGGAAACTTCAGCAGGAAGCCTCTAGCAAAGATTCTCTGTCACATGAGAAGTAGGAAAAGAGACTGAGCTAAGCCTTGGCTTAAGTGGGTACCTTTAAAAGGGGGATTCTTGTTTCCATTTCTTGGCTTTCATTTTGATAAATATTAATTTACATGATCATATGCCCAAAGATACTGAGCCTTTGTGAACCTCTCCTAAGAATATCCTCCTTTGATCTCACTGTGAATGTCTAGAGACCTGTATTTGTCTGTTTTTGTTTTCTGTACCTTTTGTCTTGTAGGTATGTTTATTTGTTTGGGGGAGGGTAAAGTGTTGGCACAGAAAGGATGGGACAAAGGGTGAACAAATGCAGCAATGGTACTCACTAGACACTATGTGGAAAATGAACTACACAACTTGTGGATGGGGACAGGAGGGAAAAACTGGGGGAGAGAGGGAAGGAGTGACACTGTTCAAAATAATGTACTCATAACTTGACTTATGTCTCTGTACACATCACCTTTACCATAACAACGTAAAGACATATTTTTAAGATTAAAAAAATGAAAATAAAAGGAAAGAGAGGAATGGCCTCTTTTCCTTCTCAGCTGAGCTCCAGATACATCTAGTATAACAACACACTTTAGTCTGATAGATATCGACTGGCCCTGAGACCTTCCACTAGTAACTATAGGCAAGGCATTGCAAACCCATGTCCCTTAGGCAATGGTTCTTGGGCACCTATGATGCCTATATAGCTTCTGCTTTGTAGCCGATGATAAAAATATATATTAGCAGTCATCTACCTTCTGTTTGCCTTCCTACACATTGTCTATTGGAACCATCACAGTAATCCTACACATAATTACTGCTACCAACATTTTGCAGCTGAAGAGAAAACACAAACACCTTAACTACAGGAGGGTAGACTCAGCAAAAGATTCCAATGTCCTTTGAACCACTAAAAAACAGTTTAGCAAAATAAATACCAGGAAACTCGAATATGTTTTGTTGGCAAAGGGGGAGGTTAAGGTCAAGGGAATGGTAGAATAGGTGAATGAAGAGAGAAGGGATGGGTAAATAGTCAATATATTTAATGTATATATGTAAAAATGGAACCACATAACCTAAGGGTTTGGATGGGTAGAAAGGGATGCCTTTGATCAAGATTCACTGCCCTCATAAATGGGCATGTTCAATCAAAACCCTTTTGTGCTACTATTTAAAGATAGTAACCTTTCTAATATAAGAAAAACATATAGGACCATGAAGTAGAAGAGAATTTTGTTCATAGATACATGAGCAGCTAACTCCTACAAAAATAAAGTTCAAGATCAAACATGAGTTTGTTAATTTCACTTATTGTGTCTAACTCCTGGATCAATGTCCAATTCTATTTAGAAGTAGTGTTTGGGCAACTGGTTGAGTCACAAAGAAATCAATTCTCAGTTTGATCTTTGTAGACTCAAATCATGAAGTACATTCGCAAATTTTCCATATTTCCATTGGTCTTAGCATTGGAGTAGATATATAATTGGTCATCAAAGGACTACCAAAAGGATTTTCATGCATTTTCTATACTATTTGATGTATTCAGAGACTTGATGAGTTAAAAACATTATAGTTATCTTATCAAGCCAAAAATATGTTTTCTAACCTTCTCTCTAAGAAAGGATTTTAAGACAGAAGAGGCAGGGAGATAGCCAATTCAAGCCTCCTTCCAGATGTGGGAGCTTTGACACAGCCAATGCTGTTTGCCAGTTGGAATGTAGTTGGATTTGGGAAAGAAAAATTTCCACCATGAAACTTGAATAAGTCATCACTTTAGCCTTCAAGGCAAAGTCTCTGATAGAGATCAGATCCCAAAGCTCCTGAGAAAACAGAATGCTCCTCTTTAAACAAGGATGTAGTGCACTGCGGCCCAATTTCTCAAAGAAAGTAATTCTGAGAGTTCAATCAATAGGACCTGGAAAAGGCCTTCTGCTGTACAGATCTTCAGCCATTCGTAGACAGATAATAGTTTGTTATTTTCATAATGCAATATGTGCAAAGGAAGTCTGTAGCTTGCTGCTAAAATATCACTGATGTTCCAAACAAGGACAACTCCAGTTTAACTTAGAATTTACCTGTAAGAACTGGGATTCAGCTCTACCCTACTTCTGAGACATAGACTACATATTCCTATTTTATGGCTATACATGTTTCCTCCTTTGTACTTGGTTTTCCACTTGTTGGATTTATTTTGGTGTGCGTGCTCATTTTTATCTGTTTGTGTTGTTTTTGTCACTGGGATAAAATGTTTGAGAACAGCAACTTAGAGGAAGGATTAATTTGGGCCATAGTTTTAGAAGTTTCAGCCTATGCTGGCTGGCCACCTTGTTTCTGAAGGTGGGCTATGGCAGTACATACATGGTAGAAGGGTGTGGAAGGGCAAAATGTCACACCTCCTGGTAGCTGACACAAAGAAAAAGGGGGGTCAACGTTTCGATCCACTCATCAAAGGCCTGCCCTTTGTGAGCCACTTCCTCCAACTGGGGCCACCTCCTGCCATCTGAAATGGATAAATCCATGGACAAAGTCAGGGACCTCAGGATCCAGTCATCTCTTGATGATTGTGTCCATCAGCTGGGGACCAAGTCTCTAACACACTAGCATTTGTGGTGGCTGTTGTTGCTGTTCATCCTGGGTCCTGAACTCCGGTCCTAGACACTGTCCTGAGCTTCTTTTACTCAAGGATAGCACTCTACCCCTTGAACCACAGCTCCACATCTGCCTTTTTCTAAGTAGTTTATTGCACATAAGAGTCTCATGGACTTTCCTGCCTGGGCTGGCTTCAATCCATGGTCTTCAGGTCTAAGCCTCCTGAGTTGCTAGGATGACAGACGTGAGCCACCATACTAGCTTTTTCCAGGAATAGTTCATACCCAAGCCATACAGTGTTCCCTACCTCTAAAACTGGGATTCACATTTTCTATGTTCAAAGCAGTTTCTGAGAACTCAAGTTCGGGCCCTGGTCTCTTGCCTAATGCCTATAGCATTTTTCCCAGTCACAGATTTCTCCTACTCTTTACCAGAAATCCAGCTTCCTGACTATCATTTTTCTCTGA